CTGGCGGGGATCAGGCCCGGTGTCACGGTGAGTGACACCATGACCGGTGGCCCGCAGGGAGAGAGCGAGGGCGCAGCAGGGACAAAAACAATGGCCGGCAGTTTTTCAGTTCTGGATGGAACGAAAGCCGGTACTGGCTCTGACCCAGTGGAGCAGCAGCCAGAACAGGCGGAACATGGAGGCCTAGAGCCGACTGGTGACGCGTCTGCCTCTTTAGTCGTTTACCAGAGGAAGGGCTAGAGGATGAGGTAGGAACAGGCCAAAAGGCAGGAATACAGGCTGTAACTAGCAGAAGACAGCTAGACTGTCGGGATGCACAGGTTCCTGAGCAGAGGCAGGTGGAACCAGAGAGCGAAGCGGAGGGGGCGGGGTTGCCTGCTGCTGGTTGCCATGGCGATTCTGTAAATGATGTGGTTAATGAGTGTGATTTGGACTCAGACAATGTTTTGGTAGCAGACAGTGAGTTGCTGGAGGAGAGCTTGTACTCTGGAAGAGATCAGTGAGTTTCTGGATGAAACGTATGGACTTACAGCAATATTTTCCTGATGCTGTAAAGTTTATCAGGTCGGCCGCCACACTGCAGAAAGAGGTGGGCCTGGATCGTTTAGATGAAAAGAAACGTTACCGTTTAAAGAAACATGTTTTGAGCTTAAAGAAAAGTTTAGGGTGGACTAAAGTGGGGAAGAAAGGGAAGATTATAAAATAGGACTCATGAATAGGAATCACTGGGTGCCTCTTTTTCTGCTGGTGATCTGGGCTATTCTCTCATCTTCCTTGTGTATGAAGGGCATGAGAGTTGCATCCTTGAACATAAATGGGGGGAGGGATCCACAGAAAAGTGCCTTGATTAAGGAAGTTTTTAGAGATAAAAAGTTGGATGTTATTTTTCTACAAGAAACACACAGTGATGCTAAAAACGAATTAGACTGGAGGCTGGGGTGGAGAGGTCAATGCTTCCTAAATCATGGCACAAACACAAGTGCAGGTGTAGCTATTTTAATTTCCCACTAAATTGCTGATAAACATTATATCAGTAACGACTGTAGTGCAGGGTAGGGTCCTATGGGTCAAAGCCACATTAGAAGGCTTTATGATGAATCTCATTAGTGTTTATGCACCCAACCAGGGATCAGAGAGGGGAGAGGTGTTTAACATACTTGGGGAGGAGTTGAGTAGCATTACTGCTGACGAATGTACCATTTTGGGCAGAGACTGGAACTGTTGTACTGATTTTACTTCAGATAGATCTGGGGAGGAACCACATCTTCAATCTTCTACCCTTTTGTCAAAAATCCTAACAAAAACAGACTTATTGGATGTGTGGAGATTAAAGAATCCATCAAGTAGAGAATACACATGGGTCAAAAAGTCAGGTGGAAGAGTTAGTGCTGCTAGATTAAACAGATTTTATGTCTCTGGTACCTTTCTCTCTCGAGTGATGGACTGTCAAATAGTCCCAGCTATTTTCACAGACCATCATTTGGTTATAACTGAACTGATGCTTCAATTTGTTGGGACAACAAAATCCTACTGGCACTTTAATGTAAAGTTATTACACGATTTTACCTTTTGCTACAATTTTAAGCTGTTCTGGGAGGCTTGGCGGTCCAGAAAGAATGATTTTAAGACCGTCAGTGAATGGTGGGAACAAGGGAAGGCACAAATTAGAGTTTTCTGTCAACATTACACGCGGGGGTCTACAATCCAAACAAAAAAAGACTATAGCAGATCTAGAGAAGGACATCAGGGTACCAGAGACTCTCTACTACTCAACAGCAGCACACATTAGACCAAAAAAGACAACAGCTTGGGCATTTCCTGCAAGAGAGGGCCAAAGGGGCCTTGATCCGGGCTCGTCTCACCACAATACAGGACATGGATGCTCCAACATCCTTCTTTTTTAACCTGGAAAAGGCTTCAAACCAGAAAAAACAAATGGTTGGCCTTCGTCTCCCAGATGGACAGTTATCCACAGACCCAGTGGAGATGAGGAAGCATGCAGTAGTTTTCTATACCAGCCTGTTTAAAGCCGCCCCATGTGATGTGAACTGTGCCAGAGAGCTGTTGCAGGGGCTTCCTTCCTTGTCCACAGCAGACCAGGGAATCTTAAATGCAGACATAACCATGGAGGAGCTAACAACGGCAGTCTCCCAGATGGCTGCAGGTAAATCTCCGGGGATTGACGGTTTACCTGCTGACTTCTACAAATTCTTCTGGAGCAGTATGGGACCAGACCTGATGGATGTTTTTAGAGACTCGCTTCAGACAGGAGCACTTCCTGCATGTAGGCGGGGCGTTCTGTCACTGCTGCCGAAGAAAGGGGACTTAACCCAACTAAAAAACTGGAGACCAGTCTCCTTGTTGTGTTCAGACTATAAGATTTTTTCTAAGTTCCAATCTAATAGACTTCAGGGATTCATCGGAGGTCTGATCCCAGATGATCAGTCCTTCTGTATACCAGGAAAGTCACGAATGGACAATTTATTTTTAATGAAAGACATGTTTGATGTTTGTAACCTTTATGATGTAAATGCAGGTATCATCTCTATTGATCAGGAAAAGGTGTTTGATAGGGTTGATCATGAGTTCCTGTTCTCTACGCTACAGGCTTTTGGTTTTGGGGGGTCCTTTCTGGAAGGGATTAAGATGCTGTATAGGAATGTCAGCTGTATGGTGAAGGTAGCGGGGGGCCTGAGTCAACCCATACCAGTTCTAAGAGGAATCAGACAAGGTTGTCCCATCTCAGGACAACTGTATATTTTAGCTATTGAACCGCTGCTATGTCGGCTAAGGAACAGGCTGAAAGGTCTACACCTACCTTTACCTGTCTCTACTCCTCCCTTAGTTGTGTCTGCGTATGCAGATGATGTGAATGTTTTTATCCATGATCAGCAGGATGTACAAGAACTCAGATCTAGTTTACTTTTATATGAGAATGCATCCTCAGCTAAGGTTAACTGGGACAAGAGTGAGGCATGTGTAGTGGGGGGTGGGACCTTAGTAATGTCCCGCCTCTGCCAGAAGGGCTGAGGTGGGGAACGGGAGGTATTAGAACACTAGGCCTGTACTTGGGTAGGGAAAGGTTTGAGAAACAGAACTGGGAGAAGGTGCTGGAGAAGGTGGAGGCGCGGTTGTCTAAATGGAAATGGCTTCTCCCTCAGCTGTCCTATAGGGGCAGGGTTCTGATAGCAAACACCCTGGTCGCCTCGTTTCTGTGGCACAGACTGATTGTACTGGTTCCACCACCGGGTCTGCTGGAAGGTGTTCAGAAGCTGTTGGTGAAATTCTTCTGGTCTGGTCACCACTGGATCAGAGCTTTGGCTCTTTGCCTACCCGTGTCAGAGGGAGGACAAGGACTAATAGACGTGGTGTCTAGAACTCCAGCCTTCAGGTTACAGACAGCTCAGAAGCTTCTTTATGGTGACAGACTCTGCTGGCTGCCCATGGCGCATCTCCTGCTGCAGAAGGTTGGTCGGCTTGGGCTGAACAAACACCTGTTCCTGTTGAATCTGAAGTTTGTGGATCTGACAAGGATTAGTCCGTTCTACTCGGCAGTGCTGGACTCTTTTAAGCTGCTGACAGTTTCCAGAACGTGTGACACGGGACCAGGGACATGGCTGCTACAAGAACCCTTGTTTGACAATGACCTTCTCTCGAGCTGACATTTTAACTTTGTCTGCGTTGAAAGGGAAGTTCACTGGTGCTGGGATTGTAAAGTTTGGTCACTTACTGAAGATCCCGGCTGGAACCCTTGGTGAGCGGGTGGATGTGAGGTCCACCAGAGTGATGGAGAGAGTGGTGGAGGACGTACGGAGGTCCTTGTCTGTGTCGCAGAGAGCCTTCGTTGAGACTTGTACTCTATCTGACCAATGGGATGATGACAGTGAGTACGTTTTTCCATCTCTGGAGGTTAAAGCCGCTGGTGAGGGAGGGCAGCAAGAGAGTGGATTACTGCTGAACCCGAACACGCCAGTGTTGGGCTCCTTCCAGTCTTGTGGGAAGAAACAGATCTATCAAACTTGTGTGAAGGTTATCAATAGGAGTTAGGAGTCAAGGTGGACTCAGGTGTTTGCTGCGGACAATGCCCCTGGGGGCAGCTGGAGGAGTCTGTATAAGTCTCCAGTGGAAAAAAGGATGGCAGACCTCCAGTGGAGGATCATACATGGAGCTTTAGCTACGAACAGACACAGAGCCCGCTTTGATCCAAGCACCGGGGAGGGATGTCCTTGTTGTAACTAAACAGAGACCCTAGAGCATCTGGTGGTAGCATGTTCTAGGTTATCAAGGATGTTCAGGGTTTTAGAACGGTGGGTCATTGCACTGGGGGAGGCTTTTACCCTACCCTTATTTGTTTTCGGGCCCAAGTACAGTGTCAGAAAAAAACGGACAAGATTGTTAATTAACTTTTTATTTGCATGTGCAAAACTAGCCATCTGGAAAACCAGAAAAAACAGATGCTGGGACAGAGCTGGACTGATGCTGAGCGGAGTCTGAAGGGCCTGGTGGAAGCTCGCTTAAAGATCGAACTTACTGGGAACCTGGACTTGTTTAGAGCGGTGTGGGGGATCGGGCAGGTGCTCTGTCTGCTGGATGGACAGGGCTCCCTAAAGATCAACTTCTAAACTGTGGGTTTATCAGTTTTCCTGGTTTTATTAGTGGAAAACAAGTTACAGTCATTAACGCTGATTGTTGATCTGTAAAGAAAAATAATTTAAAAGTCAAAAAAGTCTCGCTCTCTCTCTCTCTCCTCTCTCTCTCTCGCTCTCTCCTCTCGCTCTCTCTCTCTCCTCTCGCTCTCTCTCTCTCTCCTCTCTCTCTCTCTCTCTCTCTCCTCTCGCTCTCTCTCTCCTCTCGCTCTCTCTCTCTCCTCTTTCTCTCTCTCTCTCTCTCCTCTCTCTCTCCTCTCTCTCTCTCCCCTCTCTCTCTCTCCTCGCTCTCTCTCTCTCCTCTCTCTCTCTCTCTCTCCTCTCTCTCTCTCCTCTCTCTCTCTCTCGCCACAGAGTGAAGCAGCTGACTGATGAAGAGGAGTGCTGTATCTGTATGGATGGAAAGGCTGACCTCATCCTGCCCTGTGCACACAGCTTCTGTCAGAAATGCATTGATAAATGGTGAAGTGATACAAATCTAAACTTTAGCCTCAGCAGCTCATAGGATTCACACGACAAGCTGTGGTCGTTACACACACACTTTTCTGTCTGTGCAGGAGTGGACAGAGTCAAAACTGTCCCATATGTCGTCTGCAAGTGACCGCTGCCAACGAATCGTGGGTGATGTCTGACTTTCCCACAGAGAATGACATGGCCAACTACATCCTCAACCTGGCTGATGATGTGGGCTACCCACACATGCCTTAACACACACACACACACAGACACACAATTTCTGAGCCAAATAGTAAGAAGAATGACTACTGATGAGTCTGATTTACACACTAAAACACACATCATGTCGGCTTCATTGAGACAATTTCCTCTTTTTTTTTTCTTTAAAAATTCTAAATGTGAGGTTTTGTTTTGTGTTTTTAACTAGAAACGTTGAAGATGATTCTCCTGAAGTCAGGACGCTGTTTGCACCTCAAGTATTACATATGTTGTCTTCTGGGCAGGTGTGTGCTTTGCTGTCAAACATAAAACATTTTTCCTGCCTGCTTTAAGCTAATGTACACACAGTAGCGTACAGGACAAAACTAAAGAGGAGGCCTGGTTTGTCTGAGCACTTTGTACAACAAACCCTGAAGAACAGGGCAGATCCTCACATCCTGATGGCTAAACTTTACATAAACTGTTTGATATTTTGTGAAATGTTTGCTTCAGCACAGAAGTGTTATTTCCATTTGCCTGTTGGCACCCATTCTTCTGGATAAGCATTTTGGCTGACCCATCTTTGCAGCAGTAGAGAACATTATCCCAATAATAATGACCTTGATGGAGAAAAAGCTAAAGGAAATGTGTTTCCTAGCGCCTCAAGTGCTAATCTAAGGCACCAAACACGTTCCTTGTTCTCTCTGGTGTGAGGCGGTTGGTTCTGCAGAAACCTGCCTGCTCAGGTCCATGTGAGCCCTGATGGGTCAACCTGATTTTAATGTGGTGTTTTATTAGCCCGTCTCTGTTATCTAAGCTGTTCTTCTAGTTTCTGTTTTACTCAGATAAATATTTTTTTGCACATACATTTGTCAGAAAGGATTTATTCTGATTATTGTGGGATTACAGTAGTTTTGCACTAGTAACACACATTCATGCCTGCATCTGTAATGAAAGCGTAAGAAGCAGCCCTTCTGTGTAACCTGGCATTCAGCAGAACTGTGGTCTTGTTCATTTAAACCAAGTGTTTTCTCGTTTGCGGAGGTTATTTTGCGTCTGGTGGAAGGTCCCTTTATCTGCTCATGTCTCTAAAGAAGCCCAAGTTTAAATCGTCCAAAGTTGATGCCAAACAAGCTGATGTCATCTTTGTAGGTTTTCTCCGTTGCAGCTCTAGCACTAAGCCCGTCTCTGCAAACAGAGTGGTCTGTGATTGGACAGACCTAAAATAGTTTAGGCGACCGGTAGACCTGCTGAGGCTCAGTGGGGCGTGGCTAGACCGACCTGCAGAGCAGATTCTGCTACAGTCTGTCTGGTTTTTAGGCTGGACTGTTGCTGTAAGGCTAAAACCTGCTATCTCCAAAATTAAAACTAAATGAAACTTCTTTAGTTTACAATAAATAAACTCTAACTTTTTGATTGTTTTTATTGTTAATTCGTGTGTAGAAAGACTGAATGATGTCCAGTACAGTTGAGTTATGTAACATGGTGAAAATGATGACAAATGCAGGAACAACGTTTTAGACCTACAACAACTATATGTGCCGTCACTATAGTTTAATACATTTATGTTTCACTGAATTGAAGGTGTTAATTAACACAAGATATCGTTCTGCATGATTTAAGAAGTTGTCGTTCCCCGCAGCATTCTGTTCAGATTACCTTAACTCCAGACTGAGTTCTCTACCGAAGCACCAGGGAGGTAACGGCACCCCTCACCCCCCTTACATCAGTCTAAATGCTACCTTTTTATAGAAATGTTTGATGAAAAATCATTACTGGAGCTTACAGGATCCACTAATGGTTCTATCAATTTTAAAGTGTGGAGAAGCTTAAATCAGTTGCAGCATTTGCTTGTGCTCAGGCTGGGACAGTTGGAGACATAATTGTGAGAAAAAAACCTAAAGTTGAGCAGCCATCACACACCTTGTGTTTAAGTTAGGATTTTTGTTGGAGTTTGGTCACAGCGTGTCTTCATTTATTTGCATTGTTCCTCATTTCCCAAAGCTTGAAGTGTCTGGCTTAGTTTGTTCTCGTCTCCAATCAGTCACACCCTACTTTCACAGACGGTTAACCTCTCCTAAGGCTGGCTCACTACTTTCACACAATCTGACTTGTAAACCAAGAGCTGGGTTCAGGCATCTGCAACGACTCGACTAACTTTCTGGCCCTGTGACCTCCGTAACGGATGGAGAGCGCTGCTTTGTGAATCGTTTTCGTTACCTACGGACCAGAGTTGGGTGAATTTCTACCAGAACCATAATCATTATTATTGTAGCAGTGTAAACGCGCAGCTGATCAAAGAGCTGATGTTGCATGACTATACATGGTTTCTTGTAAATATTAAAAGCAGAGCTGCGCATTTAAAGCACCTGATACATAAACGGGATACAATTCTGTTTTACTGTAACTCAAGGGTCACATTAGCCTGAACTCTGTAGCAGTGACTTCATCATCGAGGCTAAAACTAAACTGTAATAATATCCTTGTTACTGTAATAATGAACAGGATGTGAAGTGTACATTGACCGTGTTCTGGTGATTTTACACCATTCTGCTTTTTTTTGGTGTTCCAGGCTGTAACCATGTAACCACTTTATATTCTGCATCTTTTTCTGCATATTTTCTGTCTCATGTTATCAGAAAATTTATGCTATAAAAACTCAAAAGTTGTGCTGTGTCTGTTTTATCTCAGAGTTTCCATTTTCAACCCAACTCCATTTGTTTGTGATTTGTGGCATATCAGCAAGACGGTTAACAAGCATCGTATTAAAATGTTATAGTTATTATTAGAGTTCAGGTCCTTTGAATTCCTTCATGAGAATAAATCAGATGATTAGCTGTGGAGATTCACGTAGAACCAGACAAGATGGTCTGTATTTGTTGGCCCGTCGCCTTTTACTACGCCAGAAATTGTGTGAGTGCCAGATCTATTACCTCTTGGCTGCAATGATTTTATTTGAATGACGGTTTAAAAAAGTTAAACAGACGCATTACTGTTCATTTTACAACCTTTATTTTTAGTGTGAAAAACAATGAAATGTGACTGAATTATTTAAAGAAAAATACAAGGAACCCTGCTGATCCGTGAAACAAGTCTACCATTCTCTAATCACACCTGCTTGTCTGTGAGGGTTTAACTGGCCTCTCATCAGATTGTGTATGAAGGACAAATTCATCCCAACAGAATCTGAGTGTCTCTTTCAACATCCTGTGAAGAAACCCTCTCGGACACAGGCAGGTCCTGTTTTGTGCAATTAGGAGAAAATAAACTTGATCTTTATAAGAAAGCATATTCCAAATCTAAAAGAATCCAACATTTTCTAAAAGTAACCCGTTTTCCCTCTTGTTTCTTTTTTTGGTAAGTCATTCAAAGAACTGTTTAAAACCTAAAAATCATCTCTGTAGGCATCCGTGATGTTTATCACACAGCTGGATTCAGACCAAGCTCCGTCTTCACCACGTTCACCAGGAAACTCAGCTCATTGCACAGAGTCTCATGGCGGTACGCCATACGGATCTGAGCCACATTTGTCCTCCGGATGTCATTCCCCTCCGGTCCATCCTGTAGGTAGCTGGAACCAATGAAGTGTTTCTTCTCCTGTGGATTCAAGGGATGAAAAGATGGAGGCTGGTTATGAAAAAATACATTTCCTTTTGTTTTTCAGAGAATCTATAATTTAATCATTTGAACAAGACATGGAGACACGAACTGTAGAAAAACACTCAATGGGAAAAAAGTGAGAAAATTTGCTTTACTATCGACTTATGCATGTTTGCTACGAACTGATAAAATGGCTTCTATTTGATAAAGCAGCTTCTACAGTTCTACATATCATTCACACGCTGGTGGTTATGAGTTATAATGTACACAGCTGCCCTGGGGCTCACTGATGAAGGCAAGGCTGCAGTAAGCAGGCACCAACGGTCCGTCTGACCACCAGCAGCAGGCACGGTGGGTGAAGTGTCTCACCCCCAAAGGGTAAAGGTTGGTTACACCTTAAAACTTAATCTAATTGATGAAATTACTATGTGTGTATATGTGCTTGTTCAGTGTTTAAAAATTCCATTGAATATTTTCTAACACACACATTTATATAATTGGCAATATTATGCGTTGGGAGATAGAACTACTAGGTGTAGTTTAGCTGCAGACACAAGATGGCAGTATATATGTGTGTATGTATGTACTGTATATACACACACACAAACACACACATATATATACATACATATATATATACACATACGTACATACACAGTTTCACCAGAAACTGTCATAGACACAATCTCTGTCACACCGCTGCATCTTTCCGATCATTACTTCATCCATTTCAGCTCGACTCTACAAGGGAGGTCCACTGCTTCCTCCCCAATGGTCTCATTCCACCGCAACCTCCGCAATCTGGCACCCATTTACTTCTCCTCTCTTGTTGCCTCCACTCTTCCATCTCCCAGCACATTCTCTGCTTATGAAGTGAATGAAGCCACCAAGTCAGTCTGCTCTTGTCTTAATAACTTGTGTCCTTTAGCCACTAGACCTGCTAGGTCCTCTCAGTCGCACCCTTGGCTAAATGATACCCTCCGGTCTCTACGCACCAATCTTAGAGCTGCGGATCGGAAATGGCGCAAAACAAGAGATCCTGGTGATCTATTGAAATTTCAGGAATTACTGTCCTCATTCTCTGCCAGCATCACTGATGCAAAGAAAGCTTTCTACACTGACAAAATTCTCAGCTCTACTGACTCTCAGAAACTATTTTTAACATTCAAAACTCTGCTCACCCCTCCATCTCCACCTCCTACCAACAATCTATCAGCTGACACCTTTGCCTCATTCTTCACTGACAAAGTGGCAGCTATAAGCAAACAGTTTACTCAACTGACCACTCCTGAACATTCACTACCACAAACTCCTTCTAGCCCACCCATCTCAGGCCCTACTGCTTCATTTTCCTCTTTTTCCCCTCTCACTGAGAACTGTGTGTCCAAGCTTCTCACGTGCAGCCGCCCTACTACATGCCCACTTGACCCCATTCCGACTAAGCTGCTCCAAGCTATTGCTCCTACAGTAGCCGCAGCAGTCACACATGTGATCAATGCTTCACTGACATTCGGTACATTTCCCATCTCTCTCAAGCATGCTCAGGTTAAACCGCTGCTAAAAAAACCCATCTCTTCCTTCAAATCATGTGGAGAACTACCGACCTATCTCTCTCCTCCCTTTTCTGTCCAAAATCATTGAAAGGGTGGCTTTCAAGCAGATCACAGAATACCTCTCACAACACTGTCTGCTTGACCCTTACCAATCTGGGTTCAAAAATGCCCACTCCACTGAAACTGCTCTGTTAGCAGTGACTGAATCCTTAAAAGAAGCTAGAGCGACTGCCAAATCCTCAGTGCTTATCCTGCTCGACTTATCGGCTGCATTTGACACTGTCAACCATGGCTTCCTTTTGTCCACACTCTCTAGCATGGGCATCACAGAGAAAGCACACGCCTGGTTTGAATCGTACCTCACAGGACGATCATTCAGTGTATCTTGGCTTGGACAATCCTTTACCGTGCACCATCTTGCCACAGGAGCCCCCCAGGGCTCTGTACTAGGACCTCTTCTCTTTGCCATATACACCACCTCACTGGGTGAGATCATTCGATCACATGGCTTCTCCTACCACTGCTATGCAGACGACACCCAGCTCTATCTGTCATTTCCACCGGACGACCACACTGTCTCTGCACGAATATCAAACTCTCTCTGACATATCAAAATGGATGAAATCCCACCATCTCCAACTCATCTCTCTAAAACCGAATTACTTGTCATCCCAGCAAAACTATCCATACAGCACAATATCTCAATCCGAAATGACTTCCTATCTCTGGCTCCTTCAAAGGCAGTTCGAAATCTGGGTGTTGTGATTGATGAACACCTGAACTTTAAAGATCATGTTGCCTCTGTTGCCCGTTCATGCCGCTTTGCGCTGTATAACATACGAAAGATCAGACTATACCTAACACAACATGCCACCCAGCTCCTGGTGCAATCTACTGTCTTCTCCCGCCTCGATGCAACGCCCTTCTAACTGGTCTTCCAGGCTTTACTGTGAGACCTCTTCAAATGGTCCAGAACGCAGCGGCGCATCTGGTCTTCAATCAGCCAAAAAGAGCACACGTCACCCCTCTGTTCATTGAGCTCCACTGGCTACCGCTAGCAGCACGAATCAAATTCAAATTGCTAACACTAGCATACAAAGTCCGAGATGGTACGGCTCCCATCTACCTGAATCCTCTTGCAAAGGCTTACGTCTCGGCCCAGCCGCTCCGGTCATCACAGGATCGTCGGCTAGCAGTGCCTACACCACGCTCAGGACAATCCAAACTTTTCTCATGCATCGTTCCACACATGTGGAATGACCTTCCAAGCACTACCAGAACTGTGGCTTCCTTTTCAATTTTCAAGAAACTCCTGAAGACCCGGCTCTTCAGAGAGCATCTTCTTAACTAGCACCCTGCCTGCACCCGTCCCCCCTCTCTACTGTCCACTCCTTGTTCCCTCCTCTCCATGACTGATGTCAATGTTGTTGTTGTTATTGTTGTTGTTAGCCTCAAGGGCAATATGCCGATTATCACTTGTAAGTCGCTTTGGACAAAAGCATCTGCTAAATACCTAAACATTAACACACACACACACACACATATATATATATATATATATATATATATATATATATATATATATATATATATATATATATATATATATATATATATAAACATCATCTACTGTACAGTCACAGGTGGGAGGGAGATCTTGGGAGAAGCGAAGAGCACATTGACTCCTCCAGCTGATGACCTCGCCAGGCTGAAGTCCACCAATCCGAAGGCAGGTCGGGTTTTCACAGCATCTGTCTGCATTCCTTCGTGGGGGTGTTAGTTGCTTGCAGCTCAAGGCTATCAGGGCATAGATTCGGATAACAAGAATTTGTTAGGGTCAGGCTGAGATAATTTTCCTCTCTGCCTTCAGTCTTTAAACTGATCATTTCCAGTCCTTCAGTGAAGCCAATTTTGGGTTTTTAAACTCGTCCATACCGTCTGGTGACTCTCTCCGAGATGACATCCATTTTGCATACAAATATCGGTATCGCAGCTAGAACATTGTACAGCTTAAGATTCACATCGAGTAACGTCCCAGTCTGAGAAG